TCTGACCTTGCCTCAGAATTTGACCTCTGGCTCCCTTTGGCTCACCAAATAGCAACTATAGCCCCAAGCAGCCCCTTGCTTGCCCTGTGCCCTAGTCAGATCAATGATTCAGCCATGGTAGAAATCTTAAATCCCACTCAGGACCCCACACAGAGGCCCCAGTGAATGTGAAGTCAGTGTACACTGGTGTGTGTGTGTGTAAGAAGCCACAGTGCGTGTGAAGGAGATAAACTAGAAAATGAGCTTCAAATTATTCAATCCCTCCCATTTTCTCCTCTTCTTTCTCTTGGTCTCTCCCCCCACCCCCATCTCTCTACGCTGAGTCTTGAACCCATGGTACCTCACACATGCTAGGTAGGCACTCTACCACAGAGCTACTTTCCAGCCCCAAGACATAGGCTTGTTTGTGGGAGTGATATTATTTTATCCCTCCTCCTTCTTGCTGCTTGGAGTTCCAGCAGCCCTAGTGGACTTAGTATAACACCCATATAGGATGGAATAGAAGATGAGACTGGGTCCCCAGGGAGCTGTCACAGTAGCTGAGAATAGCCTACCTGATTTCTTTCATGTGAAATAATAAAATCTAAATTATTGTAGTCAGTTTTTATTTCTTAAAGATGAATAAAATTCCTAGCTGATCAGCATTTTAGAAGTCAAAGATTAACAAATGATGTTGGGAAAATTGAATATCCACATAAACAAATGAAATTGGACTCTTACCTAATACAATATACAAAAGTAATTCAAAACAGATCAAATGTAAATGTAGGAGATAAAATGATAAAACTCTTAGAAGAAAATATAGAGGAAACTCTTTATGACATTGGATTTGGCAATGATTTTTTTCAGATGTGACACCAACAAAAGAAAAATAGACACACTGGACTTCATCAAAATTAGGAACTTTTGTGGATCAAAAGTTTTTAACTACCAACAGAGTAAAAGGAGAAAATGTTTGCAAATCAGATATCTGATAGAAGCTGGATATTCAGAATATATAGAGAGATCATAAAATGTAACAAAAATCAAACAATCTGTGCTTTCCATCCCTGTGACAAAATACTTGAGACAATCAACTTAAAGGAGAAAGGTTTATTTTGACTCATGATTACAGAGGATTTAGTCCGTGGTCACTTTGGCCCTGTTGCTTTGGGCCTGTGATGACACAGTACATCAAGGAGGGAGCATAGCCAAGGAGGCCTGTTCACCTCATGGCAGCCCTGTGAAAAAACAAAGAGAAGGAGGAGGGGATAGGTCCCAATTCCCCTTCTAGGGCACACGCACTGATGATCTAGCTTCCTTCCCCAAGGCTCTGCCTCCAAAGATTCCACCACCTCCCAGCAGTGCCATGGGCTGCAGACCAAGTCTTCTTCACTGGGCCTTTGGGGGACACTTAGGATCCAGACTATAGTACAACCCAACTTAAAATAGGCAAAACATGGGCCGGGGATTTAGCTCAGTGGTTCCGTTGCCTGTTTTGCAAGCACAAGGACCCGAGTTCGCGATCCCTGGTACCAAAAAAAAAGCAAAACAGGCCGGGGATTTAGCTTAGTGGTTTCACCACCTGCTGCGCAAGTGCAAGGACCTGAGTTCAATCCCTGGTATCAAAAAATAAAAATAAATAAAATAGGCAAAACACCTAGTCAGACATTTCCCCAGTGAAAAACATATGGCCAAAAAGCACATAAAAAGATGCTCAACTTTAGTCATCAGGTGAATGCAAATTATATCAAGATATCACCTCACACCCATGAAGATGGCTACTATTAAAAAACAAAAAATAAGTGTTGGAAGGGATTTAGAATAATTGGAACCCTTCTGCACTCTTGATGGGATTGTGAAATTATGCAGTCACTGTGGAAAACAATATGGTTGTTCCTCAAAAAATTAAACATAGAATTACTATTTAATCCAGGACTTTCACTTTTGGATATACACATAAAATAAATGAAAGCAAGCAATTGTTTGTATGTTTGTTTGCAATACAGGAGATTGAACCCAGGGCCTCCTACTTGCTAGGCAATGTTCTACTGTTGAGCTAATATTCCTAGCCTGAAAGCAAGAAATTGAAAAGCTATTAGTACTCTCTTGTTCACAGCAGTATTATCCACAATAGCAAAATGGAGAAAACAATACAAATATTCATAAAAAGATAAATGGATAAACAAAATTTAGCATGCCCACACAATGGAATATTATCCAGCTTTGAAAAGGAGTGAAATTCTGATACAACATGGATGAATCTTGAAGACATTATGCTTACTGAAATATGCCAGACATAAAAGGACAAATATTGTAAGATTCTATTATATGAGGTAGCTAGAGTAGTTGCAGTCATGGAGACAGAGAGCATAGTGGTGGTTACAAGGAAGCTGAGGGGAGAAAGTAATGGGGAGTTACTGTTTTGTTTTTTTTTATGGTAGCAAAGTTTTATTAAAAGTAGGAAAAGGAACAGGCTCTGCAGAGCGAGTTTTGGCCAAGTAAAAGTAGGAAAAGAAGTACACCCTACAGCATGAGGATGGGCCACCATGGAAGAGCAAACACAGTCAAGTTATTGTTTTTATGGGTACAGTTTTAGTTTAAGAGGATGAAAAAATTCTAGAGATGTACAGTGGTGTTGATTGGATAACACTGTCAAAATACTTAATGCCATGGAACTGTACCCTTAAAAATGGTGAAAATGCTGCACATGGTAGCTCCTGCCTACAATCCCAGCACTTAGGGAAGCTGAGGCAGGAGGATCACAAGTTTAAATCCCACCTGGGCAACTTAGCAAGACCCTGCCTTAAAAAATATAAAAGGCCCAAGGATGTAGCTCAGTGGGAGTGTGCCCCTGAGTTCAAGGTCCAGTTTAAAAACAAAAGTTTAAATTGGAAATATTGTATTAGTCAGGGTATCTATTTTGGGATTCTTCGGTGAACTGACTGTACCAGTTTCCTGGATCCCTCATCATTAAAGAGTTAACATGTGTTCACTTTACATGGGCATAAGGATTATGCTTTTCCCTTTTTAACAAGTCGTCAGCAATTTAGAATGTCTGTCTAGTGCTTAAGCTGAAGAATGGAGAGGGGAGGGAGGGAGGAAAAAATAGGGGAATGGATAGGATGGAAGAAATAGGAAAGGAGAGAAAAAAAGAAAGGAAAAGCCCACATGGGCAGGGTGGAGGGCAGAGATGGTTGGGAAAGAGAGAAGGGGAAGGAGGAGCAAGCTAAGAAGAGAGGAAGTGAGAAAAAAGAATCTCAGTCCTGGAGGTGGATGCACACTCTCCCTCCTCTTGAAGGAAGTCTTTATTTTGACTCAGCTGTGAGAGGTCTTGTCCGAGATGGAATTTATTTTCTGCCTCTGTCATTTCCCAGATCACCAGTTATATTAAGCCAAAGTCCCTTGGTGGCTGCTGTCTATAATTTTTCCACTCCCCACCCTTTCGAGGCAGATTGAAAAATAAGGACATTTTGAAATTTGGATTCTTCAGGCTCAAGGCAGCAGAGATGGGACCCCAAACTGCCCTAGGCCGGGTGGAGCTGGACAGGGTCGCTGTGGAGGGCACCTTGTGAATCAGCAAGAGGAAGGCAAGCAGGGCAACCACAGCTGTGCGGACCCAGCCTGGCCACCTGCGACACCACCCAGTGGGGCTGCTCCTAAAGCACCATTTCTGGGGTGAGAAGCAGGCTCTTGACTCCAAAATGCTTCCAATGGCCTGGTACAGATCTGAAATTTAGGGAGTTAGTCTTCACCATCCCAATAAGCCGCTTCCTAATATGACCACAGTCCATCTGTCCAAACCACCCTCCCTGCCATGTGTCCTGGGCCAAGTGCAGCCGGCCCACTCGCCATTCCTTGGACATGCCAGCTAGTGCCACCTTTGCCTGTGCTGTTCCCTCTGCTTGTACTGCACTTGCCCTCTCATCTCTACCCGTGACTTTGCCCTCCTGCTCATTTCCAGGCAGGGTGCTTTGCTTTCTCCCTTGGGCCTTCATGAGTACTTCATACACATCCGTATTTGGACCCCACGCTCATCACTCTGGTTAATTATTTGCCCATCTGCTAGTCTGTTCCTCAAGAGCAAGGCCCCAGCCTCAATCAATGCCTGTCCCAGTACTTCACTTGGTGTCCAGCACATTCATTCAGTCATCTCCCAAATTCTGTGAATATTATGTGCCAGACTGCTTTCTAGATGCTGGGCAGTGGACACAAAAACTGCTAAGGGTGGTGGCATATTCCTATAATCTCAGCTGCTTGGGAGGCCGAGGCAGGAGTGATATAGGGGGAAGAGATGCAACTCCCAAACCTACTAGATATCTGAAACGGGAGTTCATGTTCTCTAAAATAGAAGAATGAATTCTAGGAACAATGGAAGTTAAGAGTAGGAAAAATTTATTGGGAGAAAGCTTCTGCCTAAGAGAGACAGAAGGGGGACCAGAAAGTAGGTTGCCCGCCTACCCCACATTTCAAAGATGTTTTATACAGCAAAGCCACGTGGTGAAGCGGGTACAAAGTGGGACAAAACTGTAAGACTGAATGGAAATTTACAAGGTAGGCATGAGGTGGGACAAAACCATGACAACCAATAAGATTACAAGTACAGTCACCCAGAGAATATTGATTAAACGGGGGTCAAATGGGGGAGCAAGTCACATAGCAAGCATACAAGGATTTTCAGTAAGGGTGGGAGTCAGGGATATTTCCTGGAGAGGCTGGGTTAAAACCTTGACCCCCCACCCAGGTGAATGATACCTATTTAGAATATCAATCGCTGCTATTTATCCCCAGGGGAAGCACAAGGGTGTGTAGTTTCTCTCCTTTTACAATTCTGGCCTTCAGTGAATGTGTCTCGATTGTCCTCCTTGTTGGTTCCTTGCTGTCTTGGCTCCTGGAGGGCTGGCGCTTAAGGGAGGCCCTGTCTACCAGTCAACAAGATGTCTAATTAACTTACCTATCTATAATAGGAGGATCACACAGAAGATCCTATCTCAAAATAAAAATAAATAAATAAAAAGAGCTGGAGGTGCACCTCAGTAGCGTGCTTGCCTAGCACGTGCAAAGTCCCAGGTAAAGTCTACAGCACTGGAGAAACAAAACTCTTTTTTGTTGGGGAGGCAAACTGCGTACAAGTAACTAGAAGTGAATAATAGGCCAGGCCGTGATCTGGGCTAGAAGGATGAGGGGGCCAACAGCACATGGACTGGAGGGCGTGTTTTACACGGGATGCTCAGGACCAGCCTCCGGTAAGGTGGTGTTTACAGAAGAAAGGGTAGAGGGAATGGCAAGTGGGTGGCAGCGGCTGGTTGCTTTCTAGCTTTGCGCTTCGGGTCTTTCCGAGCTGAGAGGAACTTCAGCTTTTACTGTAAGGGAGATGGGAGGCACTGCAGGGGTCTGAGGAGAGGGGGACCAGCTAATTTAAATTCCAGAGCATTCGCATTCTCAGATGACCTCCTGAATACTCTGCAGAACACACTGTCCCTGGGTCAGATTTCGTGGGCGCTCACAAAGGTCAACAGCAACGTGGGACCAGACGCCAGGGGCCCTTGAGGACTGCGCAGAGGAAATGGGAGGGTCTACTTTAATCTGTTTCCTTCTCTTCTTATCCCTGCTGCCGGTTGGGGTACAAGGCTGTAATCCCAGCTACTCCGGAGGCTGAGGAAGGAGGATTGCAAATTCGAACCCGTGTTAAACAAATGGCTGGGGACGCAGCTCAGCTCGGTGTTAAGAGCGCTTGCCTGGCATATGCTAGGCCCTGGGTTCCATCCCCAGCTCGGAGAGGGGTAGATCCCGTAAACTCACGGAGATAAGCACAAAACCCTGGCCTGCCACCCCGAGAGATACTGGCTTCGCCAGCCGCAGATGTTCATCCAAAGTCCAGGGTAACCTCTTGGAAGAGACGCTCAACCCCCCAGGGATTCGGGAAAGGCAAACCTCGGTGCGGGAGAACCAGTGTTTGGCGACTCCTGGCCTCGGACACCATGCTGCTGGCTCTGAGTGCCCTTCAAGATGCCCCTGGCACTAATAAAAGCCCGGCTGAGGAAGGCTCCTTCCGGGCCCTTTCCCCCAGGACAACTGGTAAACCCTCAGCATCAGTAACCCACTACGCCGAAGACCTCACCTCTCCACCCGTCCAGAGAGGAAATCTATCACAGTGCAGTTTCGGGCACTGGGGAAGTCCCTGTCAGGAAGGCGACTTTCAGGAACGCCTCGATCCCTGAACAGACAGCTCCTCCTCCCCGCCTCCGGGCTCCCGGGGAGGAACCTGGAGACCGCGCGGGCTGACCGACCCCAGGCGCGGGCGGAGGCTTCCGGGGCTGGGGGCGGTGCCACGTGCAGTGCCGGCGGCGCACGGCAGAGGGCGTAGAGGAGCTACCGCCGCCCTCCCGGATCCCACGGCGCGGTCCGCGACGCCCGCCCTGCCGCCGCCTGGCCGAAGCCTCTCCAAGGCCAAGGCCACCCTCGGCCCCGCCCCGCCGCAACCGCCGCCCCGGAGTGTCGGTCGAAGATCACCCTAGGCCCACGCCCTCTGCCCGCCCCGGACGCGCCACCCCTTCCTGGGCCTCCCTCCCTCCTTCCGCTCCAGGTGTGCAGGGTGGAGGAGGTGGTCAGGGTGGGGTATGGTCTCCAGGCCTTGGCTCGGAATCCAGGCTGTGAGGATGGTCTCACCTCGGAAGGTGAGAGGCCAGAGCCGATTTCACCCTCAGCCCAGGGCCAAGGGGCTGAGAGGTTGGCGAGGGCTAAGAGCAGAGCTCAGGGCCTCCAGGGAAGGAGAGCAGGCACCTGCCCTGAGCGCTGCTGCAGGGCCCGGCACGTGACAGGGCCCGTCAGTATTTGAATATTTGAATGAATGAATGAAATGGCAAGTGATTGGCTTGCATCAGACCAGCGACCTCACTTTGCTTTGCTCACCTTACTACCTGCCTCCCTCCCCCACCTCTCCAACCTCACAGCACACCTTTTCACTTCCTGCCTCTCAAAGGCTTGCTCCAAATCTCTTATCCTAGAATTCAAACCTGTGCAGTTTTGCCCCATCCCACTGAGAGGTGAGAGAACACGGCATCCCAAATACGCCACTTGGAAGGATTTTTTTTTTTTTAGCTGAAGGCAATAGAAACAAGAAAAACACAAGAAAAACCTTCTGCCCTTTGCCTGAAAGCAGGACATAAATTTAAAAGGGTGTCCCCTCTCCCTTCTACCAGAAAAGACAAACGTGGATCACAGAAGACAACTGTAGACCCTAACCAGCCTGGAGATGGCGAACTTTACCGAGCTTTTAGCTTTCACTAGTTTCCCATTGATTTGCCTTCCCCTGGAAACTGTGTCCTTAGCCTTTGTCTTGTTGCTTCTCTAAAATTGTACAGTTCTTTATTGAAGATGCTAAGCGGGAGTTCTTAGCCACCTCTGAGATTTACTCAGTTGCTGCTGTCTCCTGCGCACAATGTTAACTTCTAGGGCCGGAGAGATAGCTCAGTGGTAGAGTGTTTGCCTAGTGTGTGCAAGGCCTTGGGTTCAATGCGCAGTGTTACAAACAAAAAAACTACTTCTGGTTTTTTTTTCCTGTTACAGGAGAAAATCTCTCTTTTTACGGGAGTGCTGGCCAAGAACTTGGAAAGGGAAAATTATTTTTCCTCCCTGTGCTGCCTTACAGCGCATGGCACACTTTTACTTGACTCTGCTCTGGCTATGTGTAATCTACTTGAGTCAATATAACTTGACCTGACCTTCCTTCTGGGAGCCACTCATTTCCCTTTTCCCATGCCTCTGTGCCTCCAAATCCTCTCATCCTTCATGGCCATCCCCAATTCCATCTGACTTTTTCGGGAAGCATCCCCTGACTTTTTGGCCCATTGTGAGTTTTTCCAGCCCTACTGCCTGTAGCATACACCCCTCGACCCTTTTCTGTTCAGGTTACCCATTTTTCTTTGTCATACAGCACTTACATATGCCTTTCACTCCTACTACACTGTAAACATTTGGAAGGCAGAATCTAAGTCTTCTTTCTCTTTCTAGCTCCCCCTTCAATTCAACACATATTTATGTATGTATGTATGTATTTATTTATTTATTTTAGTCTTTATTTCCACTTTCAGTTTCTCACACCGGAGAAACAATGCATCAACACACATTTATTGAGCAGCTATTATATACCAGTAGGAAGTTTAGCATTTAGGGTTCCAAAGAAATCTAAGACTCCCCACAATGAATTGAGGAGACAACTGTGGCTTCTTCATGGAGCACTCATCAGGAAAGCCCCAGAGGACTTCCTTCGAAAGCACTCAACATTCTGGAGTAGGAAGCACTCTCATTCCCGGAGGGAGTGGCTGCCCACTCATGGAAACACTCATTCACCCACCCTCTCATTCATTTGTTCATTTGATAAATATCTGTTGAGCCCTACTTTATCCAAATGAGTCACAGGGTGGTCATACTACAGCCCAGGAGCCTGGGAAACTTTTGGGCTGAGTTGCTTCTTTGTCAGTTCCTGTTCACAGGTATAAGTCCCTCCTGGGAATTGTCTTGGCAAAGACAGGCTGAGTGTGGCAAGGGCAGGAAAACCTGGTATACATGGAGGGAAGGAGGACATCAGCCTGTGGTTCACCTTGTAAGAGTTTACTCTGTCTGCCAAGCAGCAAGTCCACTATAAAGTCCTTTCCTTCTGTGATCATTTGAGGTTTTCCAAACAGGCCTATGAGACTTAGGGTCCATATGCCAGATGGGAAAACAGGCTAGGCGACTTATGGTTTCCCCACAGTCAGTGGGCCATGGCAGGCTGGGCCTAGACCTGGTCTCCCCAGCTGCATTATAACGGACTGTATCCCAGACTCTTTGGGGACCCTGTATGCTAGGTTTTACACTGGGTATTGAGTAGATACTTAACCTGCCCCATCTGCAGGTTCACCAGGCCTGCTGAGGAGCCAGTTAGAGAGGAACCTGGCTTTGCATGAAGGAAGCAGGCACCTGGAACACAGCTATCTAAATTTCAGACCAAATTGACAGCCTCTGTTGTATCTGGCCACTATCAGCTCTCCAGCTGTCCCTCAAAAATTCATAACTTATTTCTGAATCCTAAGTGCAACTGATTTCCAAACTCTAATCTTAAAAAAAAAAAAAAACAACTTTAATCTCAATGCCCCAACTCTAGCCCCTCTTAATCATTTGTTCTCCACTCCTAAAGGCAACTTGGCCCCTCCCAAATCCTCACTGGTGACTCGACTATCTTTCTTACCCTTTATATAGCCCCAAGCAGGTCCAAGCATCCTAGAGAAAAGAGAAGGTCCACAGTAAATGTGCAGGCAGGCAGGGAGGGCCTGGTAACATCATGAATTTCTCATTTTGAAAGAGACCCCTTTCCTTCCCAGGTGCCCAGGACTTCATGTTGTTCTAGGCCCTTCTGCAAGGGGGAAGGGGGAGCATATGTTAACCCTTCTAGTTGTTTTTCAGAGAGGCCTCAAACTTGCAAGGCTTGTCAGAAGAGACAACGATTAACTGGGTTCCAAGGCAAGCTTGAGGAATGAGATATACAATTTCTGCTGTCAGGCAGATTCCTTATCTAAAGGCAACTGATTTGTCTCTCTGTTTATTTATAACACTTGCAGTGAGTTAGGTACCTCTGTTAAGAACTTTTCCATGTTATGTTTTATTGAATTGCTATAACCCTATGGAAAGGGAACTATTATCCAATTCTGTGGATGAAGAAACTGAGGCTCAGCGCTAGTTAGGCAAAACCAGAGACTGACAGGCTCCTAGATTCCTCTTCCTGTACTGACTCTGGGTGGGACAGGGACGTTTTCCAATTCTGAGATCTGTTCCCGAACTGGACATTTCTAGCACTAACTGGGCCGGTCGGCAAGTTCTAGAGCCAGGGGATTGGTCAAATTCTTTCCAAGGCCCCGCGACACCCCCCCCCCAAACACACTGAGCCTATCAGATGTCAGGGCCCAGGGGCGGGGGAGTTAGCAGAGCCCTGTCCCCCAGGAGTTCCCTTGGCGCAGTGCTGTTCTGCCTAGTGTCAGTTTTCTCCCTGGTCCTTCTTGACCACCAGGGTTCCAGTCACCAGAGAGTCAGGGCTTCCTCTGGCTTCCCATTATGCCCGCAGTCAGACCAGCTCTGTCCACAAAGCACAAAGCCTTGCCTTAAAGGAAATGGTTCTGCTTCCTTTTCATGAACCCTGTAAAACAGTCGGTGTCAGGAAACTACTCTGTGCCCAGCCTTTGGAGAGGAATGACCCCTGCCCTTAAGTACTTACCATTCAGTCATAAAAAACAGGAACTGGTAAGTAGGGCATCGTTATAATGCTGCATCACGTCTGCGCGGTGCTAACTCCTGCGGGGTGCTGCCTCTGAACAGGATTCTGTCATTTACAGGAGGGTAACATCACACATCGCAGCAACTTTGCTTCTGCAATATATGGAGGGGGGCAGGGTATCAAATTTACATCTTGTCTAATATTAGCTCTCTGATGCTCGGAAGGTACATAACCAGGCTGAACCTGAGCTTCCATAACTGCAAAATGGAAATATTTTCCACCCTATGGTAAAGTGCTGCTTGTGAGGACTGAGGGGATACATAATGCCTATGAAGCACCTAGCAGGGTGTCTGAGACATGTGCTTATGTGTTTATTCATTCATTTTACAAACATGGACTGAGTACCTGTTGCGTGCCAAGCCCAGTGCTAAGCATCTGATGATAAAATAGTGAACGAAACACCAAGCCCTTATGGGATTTAAACTCTGACTTAACTGAGTCTGGGTTTCTTCCTTTCTGCTTGTGTATTCCCATACACTTTCAGGTTGATTAGCTCATTTTAAGCAGATATGTTTATATACTCTTTTGTACCATCTTGGTAAAGTAGGGATAAAGAAGGATTAATTCCACATGGTGGATGGAGAAATGGAGGCCCAGAGATTAGATGATTTACACAATACCTCTGTATTGTGTAACTGCAGATTGGTTTTCTGTTGTCCAGACTTCCATCCGCCAGGGATTCTCTTTTGACATCCATTCAGGTCAGCCCCACATTTCTCCCTGGAGCTCTGAGAGTCTTCCAGAAAAAGTTCCTGAGGAGAGCTCACTGCTGGAGGTCTTGGTCTCTCACACCCTTGGAGCTCATCTACCCAAGTGAGGCTGAGTGCCCTCCGCCAGTGCAGATAGACCCAGTCCGTGTTGATGCAAAACCAGGTCAGTTGTGACTGTGCCTTCTCTGTCAACCTTCCCACCAACTTCCAACCCCATCCGGCCCAGAACAATGGCCCACTTAGGCTTCTTCTCATCCACTCAGACCCCTCCCATCCCTTCCTCTAGACTTGGTTGGTGGCTGAGAACCTGGCACAGTGATGGCGAACCTTTTAGAGCTTTCAATGAGACAGTCTGCTGCAGTGCAAGTGTCAAAGTTTCACCACCACTGCCCTAGCAGAATCCCCGAGCAAAGTGGGCAGAGCCTTAGAGACGGAGTGTGCAGGTTCAACAGATTAGAGAATTTGGGTTTCATAAAGCCAGCCCTCAGATTTATGACTGTGTAACAGCATTTACCCCAAGCAAAAGTCCAAGGAGCAGACAAAGATGATGTATAAACGTGCATTTACTGAAGAGTTTCTGGAGATTGCAAAACAAAGGAAACAAGCTGATTGTTCAACAGTAGGGGGTTCATTGAGTGAAACTGTGGTTTTCTCTACTCTGCAGTCTCTGGTAGCCATTAACAATTTCCATGAAATAGTATTTCCTGGGAAAATAACTGTTATGTTGCTAAGAAGAGGAGGCTGGGTTCTCTCTGGGTTTGCCACCCAAGCAAATGCGGCCTGGACTTGTTTGCTTTATTTATTTTTATTTTTTATTTTTTTGGTACCAGGGATCGAACTTGGGTCCTTGCACTTGCAAGGCAGGCGGCACAACCACTAAGCTAAATCTGAGGCCCTGGACTTATTTTAGAGCCAAGTCTCAACCTCCTGATATAGGGTGTATGATATAGGACCTCTAAATAATCTAAAGCATGTAAAGAAAATATTAAAACTCCCAAACTGCTACATATCTGAAATGCTGGGTTCGTGTTCTCTAAAAATCAAAAAACGAATTGTAGAAATCCCAGAGAAGGAAGAATGTATTGAGAGAAAGATAGCTTCTGTCTAAGAGAGACAAGGGGGATTGGAAAGTGGGTTGTCCCTACACCCCTTTCTCAAAGGTGTTTTACTGAACAAAGGCATGAGGTGAAGCGTGTATAGGGTGGGACAAAACTACAGTCAGCTAATAAGATTACAAGTATAGTCACTTGGGTAATATTGATTAAATGGGGAAGCAAGTCTCATACCAAGCATACATGGACCGGAACAGGGGTTTCCCAGAAGGAATGGGCTATGGAGGTTTTGGTCCCCACCCAAGGTGATTGATACCTGTTTAGAATATCAGTCACTGGTGTTCATCCCTAGGGGAAGTATGTGGGTATAGCTATTCTTTTTTGAACCCTGGCCTTCAGTAAATGAGCCTCAGGCCACAATTGTCTTCAGTCTTGAGGGCCCAGCCCTGCCTAACTGCCTTATAATATTTTCTAACTAGTTTAGCTGTCTACAATACTCCTATATGAGATTTATCTGCAGCAGATTTACCTCAGGGTTTCAGGTTCTTTTTTCCCCTACTTTTTAAAAGAATTTTTATTTTTTTTATAACCATAATCCTTGACATTTCCTAAATTCCAGTAGGAGAAAGATCTCATGAAATCCTGGTAGTTCCTCTGAGGCTCAGCCATGGCCTTTGCACAAATGATTGCTGTGGAAGGAACCAAGCACCAGGCGCATTTTTTCTCTCCCCCAGCTCATCTTTGTATCTGGGAACTTTCCTTGACTTCCCTGGCAGATTAGTCTCCAGTCTTACACATCCTCCCAGCACCATGCACTTCCTTCTCTTTGTTCTCACAGTTGTTACTTGACTGGGATTTTGGTGATTAGCTGGTGAATGTCTTTTTCCATCTATGCTGTCTCCTACCATGATGTCAGCAGTCGGGTCTGCTGATGTTGCCCACCCTGTCTCTACCACTCAGCAAGCTTCCTGCCCTCCTGGAGACTTTCAGTAAATGCTGACACACAACTGGTGCCCATGGATGGGTGGTGGGCCTGCAGGATTTCACAGGCTGGAGGGAGGAGGATGATTACCACAGATGTGCCTCCAAGGGAGAATGCAGCTCTAGGGAATCAGGGCAGCCTTTCTCTCCGCATAGCCCGGAAGGTGGCTGCCTGTGGTGCAATTTCAGGGTCACTAGGAAGGCCCTCCCCTGCCTCCACTCCAGTGCTTGACAGCTTTTACAAAAGGAGACAATGCCTTTAGTTCCCTAAAGTACACACAGAGCTCAGGCCTGAATCCCACAGAGGGGGTTGGGTGGGGTGGGGTGTGCTCAGTGGCCTTCATTCACTCTCAGCAGTAAATGATTGATGCTGGCTTTCTTAAGAACACCTTGTGATGCAGGGGAGGAGAACTCAGAGGAAGAGGGAACTGGGAACTTGGGGGCTAGGCTTGGATCCACAATGGGGTAAAGACAATGAAGCCTGAGGCCAACCTTGACCTACAGTATTATTTTGCCTTTTTGGTTTGCAAGCAGGCCAATCCTACTGGGTATTAACATCCTTTTTGGTAAATCTGGTTCTGCAAATATTTTATGTCTGGAAAACTTTCAAGAAAGATGGCGTTTGGAAATCTGGCTCGGAGGCCCCAGGATGACAACCTAATTACGTTCCTTTTAATAGCTCCTTCCCAAGTGCTCAGTCAGGGACATCTGCTCTGTTGCTGCTGCTGTGGCCCCTTCAGGGAGGAATATTTTTAACATCACTGTGCCACAAAAGGAAACTTCTGAAGGCTGGAGGAAAAAGGCCTCCGTATTCCGGTGCCCCAGGGCCCAGGTAGGGCCTAATGCTCTCCTGACTTCCTCCTCCACCCAACCATCCATCAACAGGGCCAGGATCCTTACCACAAACAGAGGCACTGGGGACTAGAAAGTGGTCACTTTCTTGGTAAATTTTCCTTTTTCTGTTTCACAGAGGGAAATTCCATATGCCAGGCTGCCTTACCCAGCTTTCTGTGTAAGCAGGTGTCACCAGCCCACTGTGTGTCCCGAGAGGGCCCCACTCCAGCCGTCTACCCATGAGCTGTACCAACCTCCTGTTCCCACTGAGGGTTCCCCTTCAGACCCCTTGTTATGTAGGGACAAAAGGAAGAGAACAGCTAAGGATGGAGGGCTTCCCTGTATGAATTAATAGGATATGAGCTTTTGAGGATGATCTAGTCTGATGGGCCAAAAGAGATGTGTCTTGCAGGTCTCTGTGACCAAGAGGAAAAGACCAAGGAGTCCTGGAGATGACCTAGTTCACAGGCTCTCTCTCTTGTTCATGCTCCTGTTTCGGCCAGTTCGTGTGAGTTCGTCACTACCCATGGGCAGACCTTAATTGAAGAATGGCCTCTTTCTCTGGGAAGCCAGTTCTCTTTGACAGAGGAACATGGTGGAGGGAGGGGGGGGAGGGAGAGGGAGAGAGGGAGAGAGGGAGGGAGGGAAGGAGGGAGAGAGAGGAGAGAGAGAGAGAGAGGAGAGAAAACCCAGTGTATCATCCCTGGCCCTTGATACCAGATGCCTGTCAGGAAGGGGCAGCTGAGCAGGAGGGGACACTGCGCTGCCCTGGCACCAAGATTTTCCACCCACACGTCAGTTATTTTAATGACGGCTGCTTTGTTTCACTGGAAGATGTAGTGCATCATCGGGATGCTATGGAGACTTGCTCGAAGTCCCTCCCCTACTCCAGTGAGGACAGAAACAGCAGGAGCACCAGGAGCAAATGGTCAATGGGACTGCTTTAAACTGGCTCCTGGGTCTCCTTGCCTTCAACTATATCCCCCAGGGCTGCCAAGCTGCTGGCTTATTCAAATTCTGGAGAGAGGAAATCCGATTTAGTCACTGCCCTCAGGCTCCAACCCCAGCAGGGCCAGAGTCTGGTGGCTGGTCTTGGTGAGGTGGACCTTCAGACTCTGCCCGAGGGGGAGCCTATGTGGCTTCCCCCAGGGGTCCTGGGGTCCTGGGCAGGCTCAGTAGTGCAGCATTATGGTGGCAGAGGGAGGGCAAGCTCTCAGTGACATAGCTCAGGGGTGACTCTTAAAACTAAAAGAATAAAGCCAGGCATGGCAACACACGCCTATACTTCCAACACTTGGGAGGCCGAGGGAAGAATATGTCTCGGATATGAAGCCAGCCTGGGCTACAGAGCTAGTTCAAGTCCAGTCTGAACTAAATAGTGAGACCCTGTCTCAAAAAAATGAAACCAAAACAAAAATAAAAACAAAACTAAAGGAACAAACAATTAATAGAAAATCTCAGGGACATGGGGAGGTGGTGGGAGCCGGGAAGTGCAAGTATGGCTGAGCCATTAGTGCCCACAGTGGTTAAGCCCTACTATTATAGACACCTGAGTTAGGTAGGACTATTATAGGCAGTCAGACAGGGCTGGGCCCTCAAGAGAGTCAGAGCAAAGGTGAAAACACATTACAGCTGTGGCTGGCATCTGTTAGAGACAAGGCCTCATTTTTTTTTTTTTTTTTTGGTACCAGGGATCAAACTCAGGACCTTGCACTTGTGAGGCAGGGGGTGGAACCACTGAGTTAAATCCCTGGCCCTATCTTGATTTATTTTTAATGCAGCCCAGATGCTGTTCCATGGCTTACTTACCACAGCGCATCCCCTTGCTTGTGAGCCTATTGCTCGGCCATGTGACAGACACCCCGGCAGCCTCCATCTCTAGCACCAGCCTGTCTGCACCCCACACCTAGGCTCCACATCAAACCTGATCTGAGCTCATTCCCAGTTTTCCACTGGCATCATGCTGCTTATCTATGGGTTTCTGGAATTTAACACCAACATAACCCCTGCCCCCTTCCTGAATGACCATGTCTGCCCCATCACACACCATCAGGGCCTGGCTCAAGTTCCCTGTGTCCTGCCTCCACTGCCTCCACTGAACCCTTCCTGTTCCTTCTTCCCCACACTAATTTCCCCTTTTAGCAACTCAGGGTCTGCACTACTTTATGGCAGAGTAGCAGGGAAAAGAGGCCTGCTGGCAATTCAGAGGTGCAGGCGGGGTGAGCCTGGGTGAGTAATTAGACCTCTCAGAGGCTGTTTCTGAATTTGGGATTTGCAGGGGTTGGACCAGATCAGTGACTTTTCCTGAGACTAGGCTGGATGGGGACAGAGGAGGGAGGACAGGCAAGTGCATAGGGCCTTTGGGATTTCCCCATTCCCTCTGACCAGAAAACCCACCTTGGCTGGATTAATGGACTAGACTCCTAAAATGCTGCTGCTTAGAAAGAGACAGCGATTGAGAACCTCAGGGTATCAATGATTCAACTGACCAGAAGATATATCGCTCTAACAGGGCAGGGCATAAGTCTTTTGTTCCCAGGTGGGTTACAGGCTGCCTGGGGCTGTGTACAGGCCCTTCTACAGGAGCCCAGCAGTGAGTGTGTTGGGAACAAGGAACAATGGACATGGCTCTGGTCCCCGATGCTCCAGAGCATCTCACCAGCAGACTGAAGCCTGGGTTCCAGCCTTCTCGTGGATTCTACAGAGAACCTATCACGGGGCTTACAGCCTGGCCTAAAACCCTCTCTCTGACTGGGGATGGAGTCTGGGTGGGCTGAGGAGAGCTCCTCTGAGAGACAGTCAGTGACCTAAGTGAGAAGCCTAACAAAACAAATGCCGGAGGCCTGGGTGTGGAGCCTGCCTCCTCGCCAACCTCCTTCACCTCTGCCCCTCAGGGCTCTCAGCTAGATTGTGCTGCTTATGATTTACATACTATTTTGACACTGGCCCTTTGTCTAGACCCCTGGCTGGGTGGCTGGGGTCACAAGTCCCTCTCTGGCTAAGGCCTGGTGTTCATCTGGTTGTGGGAAGCTGTAGGGACGCATCGGTTCTTCAGAGTCTGCCAGGCTCAAGGTGCAAACCAGCCCTGAAAGACTCATAATTGAGTCTTGAGAAGCAATCACTTGCTAATAAAACCCTCACAAAAAGATGGGCCCTAGAAAAACCACCACAGAGGTCAGAGGAGCTGGGCCCGGAGGGAGGGCAGGGAGAGGGCAGCTCACAGCTGCAAAAGCCATGGCCCTGCCCAGAGCTGGTGGGACCAGCCTGTGGCACACAGAGCAAAGCCAAGAGGCCCTTTTGGCCCCGGTGATGTCTTTACCTCTCAGGAACTTTGACTATAGCTTGTGGCTGAAGGGGACTGGTCACTCAGCATTCCCAGGATGAAACAATGAAGTCAGAGAGGTTCATCCTCAGCCTCTCTCTTCTTTCTTCCTCACATTACAGATGAAGAAAATGAGGCCCAGGATGGACCTTGTTCTATCTGGAAAAAGACAGAAAAGGGACCTTAGGACTGGAAAGGCAACTATAGGAGCAGCACCCCCCTGGTGGCGTTGGGGACCCAAGGTGAGATCTCTTTCGAGGGGGCTGCATCTGCAGAGGTTCCTGAAGAGAGGAATCCCCAAGGCAGAGGTCATGTGTGACCCACAGAGATTGCATAGCCGCAATAGGAACCAGAGAACCATGGAAGCCTTATGCCTGGGCAGAGGGAGTAGGGTTCAGGTGGAATTTCAGAGCCTGCCCCCAAGCCGAGCATCCTGGACACAATGGCTCCAATGACCCTGCACAGCTTTGCCTGTTTGGCCTTGTCCCCCTTCACCCTCCAGTTCATCCCCATTCCTATCACTTTCTCTTCCTTCTCGCCTGACACCTAATCCTAGGGAAACAAATGATTAATGTAATTATTATAATAATGATATATTGAGAGTGTCTGAGGCAGTATACTAAGTATTACACATATATTATTATATTTAATTCTCATAACAACCACGAAAAGCAGGACTGCTGTTCCCACTTTCCAGGTGAAGTCACTGAGGCACAGAGAGATCAAAGAGTTTGCCCAAGACTCCCCTCAAATGAATGATGAAAGCAGAATTCAAACCTTGGTCTGTTTTTACTAAAGCTTAAGTAAGAGTTTGTGTGTGCATGTGTGTGTGCGTGTGTGTCTGTTCTGAGGCAGCATCTGATATGTAGTACAGGTTGGCCTCAAACTTGCAGCCCTCCTGCCTCAGCCTCCTGAGCCCTGGGATTATAGGCAAAGCTTAAGCTTTTAACTGAGAATGTCCATTAAATTGAAGAAAGGTGGAAGCTGGTGGTGTAGCTCAGTGGTAAAATGCTTCCTTAGCACGTGTGAGGCCCTGGGTTACATTTTTTAGCATGAAAAAAAGAAAGAGAAGGAGGGGAGAGGGGAAGGAGAGAGAGAGGAAGAAGAAAGAGGAGGAGGAGAAGAAGGAAGGAAGGAAAGAGAAGGAGAGAAAGAGAGGAGGAGAGGAGAGAAAGGGAGAAAGAGGAGAAAAGGTTCTGAGAAACCAATTCTTCCCTGGAAGTCACACAGCTCATCAGTGTAAGCCGGTCACTGGGCCCGCTGCTCTTTGGCCTGCGGCACATACTCTTAGGGTGGAGCTTTCTCTGCACTTTGTCCTCCACCCTGGCATGCATCAGGATGCTCAAGAAGTGTTCAGGAAATGTGCGCAGGCTGAAGGACTACCTTCATCGTATTTGATGTGCCTACCTGGAGTTTTCTCACATGCTTTCCAAACTGCTTTGATATCAGCTGGGATGGTCTTGTCCTTAGGTTGGATGTTAGCTCAGCCCCATTCCCCCAAACCTGGAGGGCCTAGAATTCCAGCCTGGAGTGCAAATTTCCTAGAAAGGATATAGGATATCAAAATGAATTGGACTTAGTGTCCCAGCACCTCAGTATGAATGAGTTTGTCAGCAGGTTTCCTGACAAGGGGACCTGGTTGTAGGCAGGGACAAAAGAAACAAACCAAAGTTCTGGTTAGGGTGGGTTGGGGAAGAGCTGAGTAGACAGATTTCCAGTGAAGTGACCTTCTGGGGGTCAGGGCCTCTCAATCTTACTGCTGTGAGGTCTCTATCTCTGGGTCTTTGTGTTTTGGGCCCTAAAAGCCTCTGGCCCAAATTCTACTGGAAAGGGCCCAGGGTAAGCAGAGCCCTTGGACAGGGCCAGCAGAAATGCTACCTCCATCCAGCAGGGCTTCACACATGTCCCTCTCAGGTGACCCTCGGCCTCACCACAGCCTGGGAATGGGCCTGCCCAGTGGTGGGCTTGTTGGCGGCTCTCGTCAACAGTAAAGGGTGGAGAGTCCGTGAGAGCTTTGGACCCCCAGCCCATCTGCAGGAAATTGGTTCCTCAGAGCCCTGTGCCATACTTTGTTCTTGGCAACCTCATTGGGATTAAGGACTTTCTAGAACCTTCACTCAATTCAATTTAAATGAACAAGGATGTATTTATTTAGCCTCTCCAGCACTGTTTCTAGATATCAGCGTAGGAAACATAACGCTCTACTCTTCGCTCAAGTCTTTTTTTTTTTTGTTGAGACAGTCTTGATATGTAGCTCTGGCTGGCCTTGAACTCATGATCCAGCTGCTTCAGCCTCCTGTGCGCTGGGATTATAGGCATGTGCCACCATACCTGTCCAAATCCTTTTATAAGCAACTAAATTTTCTCAAAGCCAGCATGACATAGTACTTAGAGGCTTTGGAGTAAGACAGACTTGGGCTCAAATTCCTCTGCTGCTCCCTAGATCCGTGTCCCTTCCTATCACACGGCCTCAGTTTCTTTCTCTGTAAATCATCAACCTCATGGACTGAATATGAGATTGGGCATGAGTTTAGGTCAATGTCCATCAACTGGAAGGCCATGCTTTGTTAACAGCATCTATCAAACCAATAGGCTAATAAAACCTGCAAGCCTCCCCAGTCCTCATCAGAATGCTCCTTTGCCCAGACGCCTTACACAATTCCCTACCACCCACAGGCATTTTTCTTTACCTGCAACTCAAGGCCTTCTGCATCAAGCCACATTTCAAGTGCTCAATAGCCATATATGGCTCATGGCTACCATACTGGACAGCAAGAGCACATTTCCACGGCTGCAGAAAGCTTATTGGGCAGCCCAGCTGTAGGTAAATCTATAGCTCACCAGTTCAAGCCTCTTTCCTTGAAGCTGGGGCCATGAGGAAAGGATGGGGAGCATAAGTGAGCAGGAGCAGGAAGTGGGCTCCACTGAGCAAAAGAAAGGAACAAACATCTTAGAAAACCAAGGTTGGACTACAAGGGTAGCTACCAACACCCTCCCCACAATTCATACCCACCACTTTTCCTCATTTTGGCCTTAGCCCCACTAGGAGTGCTGTGGGAGGGTAAGGAGGTGGGAGGCCATAGAGTGTAAGAGCAGAGGCTTGGACTCTGTGGGCCTCTGTAATTTACTACATGTGTCTGCATTAGTCAGTTTTCCATTGCTGTGACAAAATACCTGAGCAAAGCAACTTAAAGAAGGTTCCAGTCCATGGTCACTTGGGCCCATTGGTGCTGGTGAGGCAGAACATCATGGCAAGGAAGCTGTGGAGAGCAAATCTGCTCACCTCATCGTGGCTACATGAGAATCACACCCTCTCAGCCACCCGCTTCTGCCAACTGCCCTGCCTCCTAATAGCTTACTCAGCTAAGAGCTCATCAATGGATTAACTCACTGATTAGGTTTGATCCAATCACCTGTGTAGGCCCCGCCTCTGAACATTGCTGCATTAGGCACCAAGCCTTTAAAACATAAGTTTGGGGGCGGGGGGGGGGGACATTGTAGCTCCATACCATAACAGTGATCTATCTCTCATCTAGTAAATTATCCCTACTTTTCCAGTTGTGGGAGGAGTGAATGATGAATATCCTGCCCTTCCCCCAGTATATTGGGAGTATTTAACAAATATACTTCTTTTCCATCTTTACATGGCACCATATATAAAAAAACGTGTCTCTGTCAGAGGGGTGTAAGTGTGTTTTTTTTTTTTTTTTGGTACCGGGGATTGAACTCAGGTCCTTGCGCTTTGTTAGTGTTTTTAATAATAAAAAAAAGCATAAAAAATTTAGTAGACCTTTCCCTTGACAGAAGCATATTACCTTGAAAGAACATGCTCCTGTCCCTTAAACAGTTGGAGGAAGATGGATAAAAGATTGACAGAGTGGATCATTTCTGTGGCTCAGCTAGAGTTAAATGAGGGTTCTTTATTCTTTTTTCTCTGTGTATGATTTAAATATTTCATAACAGATAAAGCTAAAAAATTGGAAACACACTCCTACTTGGGCCTAATGTGCCTAAGTGGCCCCCAGATTTCTGAGGAGGTGCCCCTCTTCTTCATGACGGGGTGGGGGGGTGAGGTGTGGGGAGGGGCAGCGGTGACTGTTCATCCTGGCTGTTTTCACCCTGGTATCTGTTTATTGTACAGGGAACTTGAGTGTGTGGCCTCTCAGGTGTCACTTTAATTCCTGATGAAGGGATCTGAAGCTTGGGCTCTGGTGCCCAGGTGTCTGGCCCCTAGCCAGGTGTTCCAGTTCATCCCTCCCTCCCTCCCTCCTTCCCTTCCTCTCTCTTTTTTTCTGGTACTGGAGATTGAACCCAGGGATGCTTTACCACTGAGCTATATCCCCTGCCCTTTTTTTTTTTTTTTTTGAGACAGGGTCTCACTATGTAGTTCAGACTGGCCTTGAACTCTGTGTAGCCCAGGCTGACCTCAAACTCACGGCAATCATCCTGCCTCAGCCTCCCAAGTAGCTGGGACTACAGGCATGTGCCACCATGCCTCATTCTCGTCAATTATTGGTCTCAGTTGGGGCTGGGATGGCTTGGGCTGGGCTAAAACCCTCTAGCTCTTGGAGTGGGAGCCATCCAGTCCCTCCTGGCTCTTCTGTCCATCCCTGCTTAGCTTTCCTTCCTCCCCCTGCAGCTGTCTCTGCTCCCTCCCACCCTCCTGTAGCTAGGATCCCCAGCCACCTTCAACCCTCTTTGCTTCCCTGGGCCTTTCTTCTCACCACTTGTGCCACAAGAGGTCCTCCCAGAAGCTGGGTAATCCCTAGGGAGAGAATCCTTTGGGGTCCTTTGCTACACCCTATTTTGCTCTAATTATTTTAGGGCTGTCTGGTTTCTCAGGGTAACATGCCAGTCCCAAGGGGCTGAAGCTCATTTACCTCCCACAGTGCCAAAATAGGGGTGAACACACATAGAGGGATGAATGAGTGAACTGATCTGACAGGCAGCGAGCCCCAATTTGTCCTACCTGCCACCCTCCACCCTCACACTAAGAGCTTTGAGCCAACCTAAGAACCATGAACGATGCTCTTCCATCCTAATTCAGCCAGGCCATGACTCCAGGCAGCAGTCAGCCACAGGAACACAGTCTTTACATCTGTCTGTCTGTCTGTCTGTCCACCAGGCTGGGGAGTGGTCAGAGATGGTGAATGATTGCAGCCTGGCAAAGGTATCGGGTTCTCAGGGTCTCTCAGAGACCAGGGGATATTGAGAGAGAGCCAGAAGAAAAGACAGGGGAAAGTGGGGGGCAGGGTAGAAACCAGAGAGTTGAGGAGGGCACAGAAGGGGACAGAGCAAGGGAGGAAAAAGGGGTCCCAAGAAAGCCAAGGAGAGTGCCTCGCCTTGCACGGCTGCAGCCCTGTGTCGTGGCTGTGCTGATATCCCCAGCACTAATTGCTTCAATTAATAATACTGCTTTATAAAATTTCAGCAGTGAGAGCAAGTACAAGGGAAGATGACATCATGTATTAATAATGCAGGCAGGGATCGCTGGGCTCCGGGGGAGCTCCATTAGGGGGGCTGTTGCAGTCCTCAGTGCTCACACTCCCAGCAAGGCAGTGTGTGTCCTTGGGCCTCTGCAGATGCAGGGCTGTGGAGCCTGGGGCTGAGGTGGCACCCGGGGCAGGGAGCTGGGAAGAGTTCACTTTCTCAGAAACTGCAGCGAGCACCCCTCCCGTTTTTTTGCTCTGGACAGTCCATGTTCTCTTGCTCTTATGTAAGAGCTGTGCAGGTTTCTGGATTGCTGCCCTATGTCTCTCCAACTGCCCCTTCCTGGACCCTGTCACATTAGCAGCTCCTCCTCCGTGTCTACCAGTGGTGAAAGTCCTGGGACAGCTTCTGTTGTTTTTTCAAATCTCTGTCCCATTCCATCTCTTTGTATTCGCATCTCTCTCTGGCTTTCTGTTTCCCTGCACTCTGTCCCTGGATTCTGAAGCTTTCTTCAGGACAAAGAACCTGTATCCACAACATGTAGATCTGGTTTCTCTCAAGTCACCATCACCAGCATTCTCAGCAAAAGCTTCCCTTAAACATCTGCTGCACAGGAACAAAGTGGCAAGCAGCAGGCATCCCTGCCTGAAGCTGTAGGTCACCAAGTGATTTTATGCTGAGGTAAAGCCAGTTCTCTTCCCATTTGTCTGCAGAAACCAGGCATGAACATGCCAAACCAGCCTCCTCACCTCATTCTGCACTCTAGGGAGAGGCTTATAGGCCATAATCTTTGATCATACATGTGCTTCTCTAGGAGGATTTACAACATTCTGCAGTCTCTTAAGAGCTCTGTGATAGGCCCAAGGATGCCAAAGGGCAGCTCTGATCTTGGGCAGCCAGCACTTCAATGAAACCTTAGATGGCCAGGGCACCTGCATGGACACTTCTGTCCACCTTTGCATCCATCTCATCCATCCATCCTCATATCTCACTCTTTGAGTTCTTTTTTTTAAAGACAGGGTGTCACTTTGTAATTCAGGGTGGCCTTGAACTCACAGTGGGCCTCCTGTCTCCGCCTTCCAAGTGCTGGGATTACTCCTGGAATTTTGTAGCCAACATTTATGTCAAAAGCAGTTTCAGGCCTAGAAATAGAAATGATAAGAAAAGGCTCAACTTTCCTCTAAGACTAAAAATGAAAACTCATGCTTCAAGTCTTGGCATCCATGTCCACCCTGCTGTTGCCTTTGCTTCATGGTGGGACCAGAGCTTCTGTTGGCAATTCTATGTGTTCTCTAGAATAGCCTTCCTTTCCCAGGAAGGAAGTAGGAGACAAACATGTGTTGGGAGAATTCTGTCTGCATGTTTCTGTCCCAAACAGCCCGGTGTGATCCTGATCTCATTCCAAGGAGGCAAACCCTCCAGTTCTGCTCCATTGAGGAGGAAACTGAGATTCCAAGAGGGTAAGATCATGGATCTAGGCCTTTTTGCCATCAAAGTCCAGCTCTTTCAATTACACAGAAATGTCTGTGTTCAAACAGTGGCTCTTGGAATGGAATGATCTGCAACAAGCCTGGCTAATCCTCTTCACCATGTCCTCCCCACTGAACGTGTCTGACCATTCTTGACCATTCTTTTTTTTTTTTTTGGTACCAGGAATTGAACTTAGTGACTAGACCTTGCCAGGCAGACACTGCACCACTGAGCACCATTCCCTGCCCCTCTTTTCTTTTCCCTCGGTACCAGGGATTGAACTCAGGACCTTGAGCTTGCAAGGCAGATGGTGGCACCACTGAGCTAAATCCCTGGCCTGAGTCTGACCATTCTTTAAAGACTTAACTTATACCCTGCTTCTGCCATCAAGCCTTTTCTAGACAATTTCAGCACAGAGTGCTTTCCGTGGGTGGATTAAGGCAGGAGTAGCTATTAGGTACACAAGGGAGCGGCTGTAGTGGATCTTGTTGATTTTCACCCATTTCCCATTTATTCATGTCTGACAGATCCTGGTTGTTTTTTCTTTTGTACCAGGGATCAAACTTGGGTCCTTGTGCTTGCGAGGCAGGCAGTGGAACCACTGAACTAAATCCCCGGCCCTAGATCCTTGTTTCTTACTGGGTTATTTGCTTCTCCCTTGAAACTCAGAAGGCAGTGACTGTATCTCCCTTCTGGGAGTGGATAATTTTGTCTAAACCAGTTGCAGAAATCTTACTCCCCTCGCCAGCAATCAGCCTGGGGTTGACCCAAGCCAAGCATGTGACCCAGCTCTAGCCAGTAAGATGCCAGTAAGATGTGACCCCTAGTTCTGGGGAGCTCCTGGGAAAGAGACATGGGAAGAGAGTCTTTCCTTCTTCAGTAGGCTATTTCGCATCCAGAACTGTTGTGTCTTGCCTTCCAGCTTGAGGCAAAACTCACTCAAGGACAGCAGAGCAGAGGGAATGGAGTCCTTGAGCTGCTGCATCCAACCTCCCAAACCTGCCATCCTACTGAACTTCTGCTATGAGAGGTAATAAATTCCCTTCCAGTTAATGCCCATGTGAATTCAGGTTTGCATTACTTGCTGACAAAAACATCATAGCTTGTACACTCCCTCCTTTAACACTCAGTATCTGTACTGTTTTCTTTGACGCTTATTACCCAGTGCCTTGTCATCTCTATTGTACTGTTGTCTTGTGTGGTGATTTAGCTTTTCCAGTGTTTATATATTCACTACAAAGTCTATACCAGCTCTCATAGTTGTCCTCTGAATGCTCACAGAGCTTCCAAATACCTGTCAAACTTGTCATTCATTCATTCATTTATTCATTCCAGAAATACTGAGGAGGCCTACTATGTGCAGTGAGGTTCCCAAACACAGAGCATGTGGTCCCAATGAGGAACTTGGATGTTAATCAGATAACCTGGGGAGTAAGTCTAGAATGACAACTGAGAAGTTATGAATGATGCAAACATGTTTTTTTTTTTTTTTTTTTTTTTTTGGTACCAGAGATTGAACTCGGGACCTTGCGCTTATGAGGCAGGCACTGGAACCTCTGAACTAAATCCCTGCCCCTTGGGAAATTATGAATGAATAGAGCTATGCTATAGGACAACAGGAGCACTTGGCCTACTTGGGAGTCAGAAAAACAGCTCTAACAGATCCCTGGGAACGAACTGGGTGATAAAAAGTGGAGAAAAATACATTCCAGGTGACAAGAACAGTGTGGCCTCTCTTCTCTCTCTCCCTGCTTTGACCCAGGCCCTCAGCACTTTTTGGTGCGGATCACTGCTGTAACCCAGCAGTTGTCTTCCACTGGTCTTCTCGCTCACAGACTTGTTCCCAACAGCTCATCCTCCTGCCAGCCACGAGAATAATCTATTAGAAAACTTTTGGTGGTTCCATCATCGACCAAGACAAGATCTATTTCCTGAACAGAGCTCCATAGGATCTAGTCTCTGTCATCTCTCTGACTTCATTTTCTGCTCTCTATCTCTGAGAACTCCTTGCTATAATTACCAGTCACACCAGGGTCTTTTCATACTGTTTTCTGTGCCTACAACACCCTTCCAGGATGTCTGTGTGTGGCTCACTGACTCAGGGGTCACATTGACTGGTTAATGGCCCTCCTCTTCCACTGTGCCCTGGACATGTCAAGACTGCTGACGGATATCTTCCTAAAGAGAACTGCACATTTCCAGTATAGGGACTATGTTTTATATATCTTTGTACCCATTGAAAGAGTGCCCTCAGGAACCATTTGTTAGACAGCATTTCAACACTAATTGCCACCCCACATAATCTGTCACTGCTCATACAATATTCCATATGAATATTCTATTCTACCTGCTGTTTTGTGTGTGCTGCCTTGGGCTATAATGAGGAGACTCAGACAAAGCAGGGTTTTGTCCTTAGAACCAGCAACTGCTCTCAAACTGACCCCATCCCTATGCCTTAGCTGCAGCGACTTTATGCAGGGGAGACCCCATCTAGGATCTATGTTCTTGGAGGCCAGACCACCTCATACATTTTTCAGCTAGTCTCAGTGAAGGGATGAATGTGTACATGGATGGTGTAAAAAAAATAGTTGAACACATTGCTTCTACTGCTCTTATTGGGCAATTACAGATGAGTCCTCTTGCTGTCGCAATCCTTGCAGGCAGACCTTGGGAGGAAAGTCATCCTAGAAAGGACTATCCAAGGGATTCACTTTGCTTCTCCCATCCCATCAGCATCCTGACACCTTTCTTGCTCAAGCTGCCTTCATCCTCCTGGCCTGTGGGACTGAACCTGGTGTTGGAAGGTGCATTGGAGGGTTCACAGAAAATGAGCTTTCAGGCTGGAGCCCACCAGCCCCTCCTCCCTGACTGCAAGGCTTGATGGTTTCCTGTGGTCCAGGAGACAAATGTGCTAATTAATGGTCTGGAAGTGCTCTCTCCTGCCCGTGCAGACATTCAGGAGGCCTTGAGAGAGGCAGGAGTCTGGAGAGATAATGCAGGCCACTCACTCACTTCTGGGGCCTGAACCCTGGAAACACTGAGCAGGTCTGCACCTGAGGTAGTCCAGACCACAGCCAGAAGTGTTGCTGAGGGTTTACTCCATGGGCTGAGTGATGGCCAGTCCCCGAAAGGCAGGTAGGGAGGAGAAGGGAAGAGGAGCTGGCAGAGGGAGTACTGAGTCTCCTGTGAGGTGTTCCCTTAAAAACTGATCAGCAAGGCCTATTTGCAGGTAGGAATGGGGTCTGGCTTGCTGCTGGAGGCAGAGAGGAGATGGGACTTCCAGCAGAGGCTCCCAATGGCCTACCTTTGCACCCTACCTTGTTTAGGCTTGAATGCTGATTCTACTCAGGCCCAAGTGTGACTTGGGCTGTTTCATACTGTCTCTGAGCCTCAAAGTGCTGCAGAGGGGCAGGGCTACCTACATAGCTCAGGAGCCTAGTATAAAATAAAAATGTAGGGTCCTGGTGTTTAAAATTATTAAGAATTCCAAGATGGTGACAGGGGAGCATTAAACCAAGCACAAGGTCCATGTGAGTTCCAGGACTTATGTGACCACACAAGTTACCCACCCATAAAGCAGACTCTGCAGAGGGGTCACGTGAGGGAGGGGGGTGGCTACACCTAGGCTAATCTGAGGCAGAACAGGGTTTTCCTCAGCACTAGCAACTCCCATCAAGTTGACTCCCACCCACGTGCCTCAAAGGCAGAGACTTAACATTTGTAGGAGAGAAAAAGCAACTTTTTTTTCACCCTACACAAAGTTCATGGCTGAAACCTCTATAACAAACAACAGATTCAAAAGAGAAAGATGGAACAAATTTATTTTACTAGTGTTAGTGACATTGGAGCCTTCAGAAATGAAGACCCAAAGATGTAGAGAAAACTGTTTTTATGCTTAGGTTGCAGTGTGCTGAGGTATGATTGGACAAAAAGGCTCTGAAGTAGTGGTATGGAACTGAGGAGAACTTGGTGTGGCCTGTTTGTTCAGATTCCTTTCTGCATTTCTGTGTCTTCATTCCTTTCTTTGGGTTTAGGGCAGGACACCTGTCACATGATGACCTTTAGGGGAGGGGAGGGAGAACTTTTTTGGCCTCAGGGTAGAAAAGACAGAAGGTCAGAAGTGACCTTGTTGCTTATGCCAAGGCTCCCTGTTTTGGATATCCTGGTTCTCCTCCCTGGGCCCACAGGCTCTCAGGGAAGACTAGGTGAGGGTGAAGGGATTTTTTTGCCCTTAGAATCTCTACTTCCTTTCTGTGTCTGGTGTGGGAACCACATGAAGGAAACCCTGGGATCTAAGGTTCAGGTTAAGGTGAAGGCCTGCATACCTCAAGCTGGCTGTTCCAGTGCCTTTTGCTTCAAGTTACCTGGATAGTCCCCTCTCAAAATGTAATTCACTTGATATTTAAGGAAGAAGTAAGATTCTACAGGCTCTTTGGCCAATAAATCTTCAAGGGAAGTAATTCAGAGCCAAAATGGAGTTTTTAAAAGCACTTGTGCAGGGCCAGGTGTGCTGGTGCACATCTGTAACCCCAGTACTGTGGGAGGCTGAAGGAAGAGGATCAAGAAATGGAGCCCAGGGGTGGGGATTTAGCTCAATGGCACCATGCCTGCCTTGCAAGGGCAAGGTCCTGAGTTCGATCCCCAGTACCGGACAAAAAGAAATGGAGGGCCGGGGATTTAGCTCAGTGGTTCCGCCGCCTGCCTTGCAAGCGCAGGGATCCAAGTTCGATCCCCAGTACCAAAAAAAAAAAGAAATGGAGCCCAGCCTGGGCAAATTAGCCACTTGGTGAGACCCTGTGTCAAACAAAAACAAAAAACAAAAAAAAACATAGACAACAAAACTTTAAATGGTATGTATACTTCAACTTGTAATAGTTGAAGGGTGCCAGAATGTGCTAACTCAGAATAGGCCACTTTAATGTGTGGATTACAGTGGCACCTCAGTTTACAAACTTAATTCTCTCAACAATTCTGGTCACAAACTGAATTGGACAAGAACTGAGTCAAATTTTCCCATAAGGTCAACATTGAACCTAACCATTGAATTTGATTTGGTTCTTGTCCAATTCGCTTTGTGACCAGAATTATGGAAAGTTTGTGAACCGAGGTACCACTGTATTTTGAGCTAAGGCACTTGGAAAATAGCAGGTATGAGAAGGGCGCTCTGATATCTCCCTTTCTTCCTGAAAGCAAGCAGTAACAACCCACATGAAAGATGTCCTCCCTAAAGATGGAGGAAAGCAACATCCTTATCACCAGGTATGGGGAGTCAAGGCTGAAAGGTGTCTACACACCCCAACCTGGTAAACCAACCCTGATATTCCTAGTCACTTTCACGTGGTCACTTATCCCTTCCCTGCCCTAGCTCCTTGCCTTGTCATGTTTTCACAATTTCACTTTGTAAAATTCTTTGTCCAGCTCCATGTATAAGGGTTCAGGGCTAACTGGTCCTTTGGCTCTATCTTTTCTTAGGAGGGTTCCTGTGTCACGTATAACTTGTATTAAATAACTGTATGCTTTTCTCTGGTTAATTTGTCTTATGTCAATTTAAATTCTTAGGTCCAGGGCTGGGAATATAGCTCAGTTGCACCACACCTGCCTGCCAAACATTTGATTCCCAGTACCAGAAAAAAGGAAAAAAAAAAAAAAAGAAAGAAAGAAAAGAAAAATAAATTCTTAGGTCCAGCTGAAATCCCTAAGATAGAGGTAAAAATTTTGCCTGTCCTACAAAGTGAAAATTTTACTCTAATTCCAGTCAAATAATTGACAGAATTATCTTTGCTTTGAACTTGGCAGAAATGGTATTAAGATTGATTTGGAAGACAAGCACAGTGGCCCCAAGGATCACAAGTTTGAGACCAGTCTGGGCAAGTTGATAAGAGCCAGCTTCAAAAAACAGACTGCTGAGGAGGCTCATTTCCCAGAACTGCATCAAAATAAATGTAAATAAATAGATTTGGAAAAATAAATATAGGTGGAGAAACAGGAACTTTAATAAACAAATAAATAAATAATTTAGATAGTAAAGTG